CCCCCCCCAACCTAAGAAGAAGACCGGAAAAGCCAGTACCCCCCCGCCGTCGCCGCCAGCAGCGTCCCCAGAATCAACGCCCCCTGCCTCGTGCTCCCGAGGAACATGGTCCACCCGGCGAGGATCTCGCGCCTCCGGGCAGCCAAGCGGCGCTCCCAGGCCTCCGGGTCAATCTCCACCGGCAGCCGCACGCGCGGGTCGACGACGCTGCTGCCGCTACTACTACTACCCCCTGGCGAGGCCGAGACAGACTCCCGGACGGCGGCCGGGGGCGCGAGGTCGGCGGGCGAGACCAGAGGCACGTCCACGCGCAAAAACACGGGCCGGTGGTCGCTCGTCCGCATCACGGGCAAGGCGTCGTAGGCGCGGACCCTCATCTTGGCGTCGACCCACGGCGGCACCTCCAGGAAGAGGATGCGGTCCGTCCAGCCGGGGTACCGGTGCGGGGCGAACACCCACTTGACCTCGTCGTCGCCGTCGGCCGGAGGAGGCGTCGTATTGTCCACGACGTACTTGTACGTCGGCGGGAACGTCACGGGGCACTCCGACAGGCCGTGGAGGGTCCGGCCGGCCAGTCGCTCGCGGGTCAGCTGATCCAGGTGCAAAAAGTTCGTATAGTAGTTCTCAGATCCCGGGTCCATATTGGGAAACGCCGAGTAGGGCGTCGGGGAGGTGGTCGAGATGCGGTAGTTGAGGTCTCCGGCGACGAACAGGTGAGACGACGGCTTGAAGACGGACAGGTCGTGGAACTGCTGCTGCAGCCGAAGATCCTGCTCGTGGTGCTCCTCCTCCCGCAGCAGGCGCGCCTGCTCGGAGGCATCTCCATCTTCGGACGACGACGATGACCGGCTCTGGCTCTGGCCCCTCGACGCGGCGTCCCTCCTCATGCGACTCAGCACCTCCTCCGGGTTCTCAAACGTCAGGCCGCGCATAATGGCTCCCCAGTTGGCGTTCCTCCGCGGCAGGTTCCACTCCATGGCCGCCAGGTGCGTCGCCACAAACGTCAGCTCCGTCGACTGCCTGTCGCCCGCCTCGTACAGGGCCCTCAGGCCGACGGCCCCCTTGTTGCCCATCTCGGCGGCGCCGAAGCCCACCTCGGCCTCTTGGATGTTGGCCAGCCGCTCCGGGTGCCTGGCGAAGAGCATGATGGCCGTGTATCCCACGTTGAGGGCCCTGACGAGCGTGAAGTGCTTCTTGCCCTGATCTGGCCGTGACGTCTGAATAAGGGGGAGCGCGGAGGCAGAAGAAGCAGCCGAGGCATCCTGATAGAAGCCCGTCTGTGAATGCAGCGAGGCCGCGAGGTTGAGCGCCTCTGCGAACCGCTCAAGGTACTGCTTGAGGAAGTAATCCCCGATGAAGGCGTAGCTCAGGGGAGCCACCTCTTGCAACGACCTTTGACAACAGATGAGCCCAAGTACCTGACATTCTTCATTCCTCATTCTAATGGGGATACAACACGCAACTCCTGATTCAACCGGAACAGGGATGAGATTCAACAAGCCAAATAGAACGAGGGGGGGGGGGGGGGGGG